TTCTGCGAGAACATTGTACACACTGTATATCAGCTTGTCAGTGTAGTATATTTTTGGAGTTTATATGCATCATCCCCCGCTTCTTTAGCATTTTCAAGTAAACAGCTCTTGGAATAGAAATATTAAATATTAAGATCTGAGAACCTTGGAGAAAAAGAAGGGAAGACAAACTGTCACTTAAAAGACAATTCTGGTTGTGAGGCTTATAGCTGGAAGGTGTGTGTGTGTGTGTGTGTGTGTGTGTGTCTTCTACACTCAATGTCACCTCAGGATCATTAATAAAGAGCATTCACAAAGAGGTATATGTAGAAACACCTCTGCCATCTTTATTAGATATTAGAATGTGTAACAGAAAACACACGCCACAGTTTAATTAATACTGATGATTAAGAAGAAACCATGGTGGACCATTTGAATCCTCTACAGGTATTCTTGTTCCCTTGTTTGTTGACACAGGAGTAAGAATGAATGAATAAAACTTTATTTGCGTCAGCCGTCAGCCATAGCAACAAAAGAACATTGTGATATACACAGAACAAAATAAAAGTCGATTATATAAAACACAGTTTAGGGTCCTGAATCAGCAGTCAAATAGTGGACCATATTCTGATTGCCCCAGCTAGAAACCTTGCAACCTTTGCAGTCATCTGCTCCTCTTGATCTGCCAGGAGAAAAGACACTGTGGCGGTGGTTGGGTGACCTGGAATGGACAATAAAAGATGGGTGATAATCTCATTCCTCAGGTCTTTGTAAAGAATGCACGCAAGGAGGGCATGCACCACTGATTCGGTGCTGCCATCTCTGCAGGGACATAAGCGTTTTTCGTATGGAATCTGTTGGAATCGTCCCTCAAGTACAGCCGAGGGGAGTACATTACAGTGGTACCTCTAGTTATGAACTTAATTCGTTCTGGAGGTCCGTTCTCAACCTGAAACTGTTCTTAACTAGAGGCGTGCTTTTGCTAATGGGGCCTCTTGCTGCCGCTGCGCCACCGGCACACGATTTCCATTCTCATCCTGGGGCAAAGTTCTCAACTCGAGGTAACTCTTTCAGATTAGCAGAGTTTGTAACCTGAAGCATTTGTAACCTGAGACATTTGTAATTCCAGGTACCACTGTACAGGAGTAAGGAATGAGGGTGTTCCAAGTAGCACCCCTCTCTAGTCTTTGTGTGAATTGCTCAGCTGTCTGTAGTGATGGGACCTTTACACATATAGCTGCACACACAAAGACTTTCTTGCAGCCACAGAACATCCGTTGTGTAGGGTCTGAAGCAGATGACAGGGTGGTGTGGGAGTGCTCAGCTGATCTCTGGTTGCTGGGTTGCAGCACTCCAGGAAGGAAAGGGAGAGGATTAAGGTTGGCAGCAAGGTTGGTGGGATGCAAACGAAGCAGCGGATCCAATCCAGTGTTCCTGCTGGTATGTTTGCACCATGATGACCCCTCACCCCTCCCCATAATGTTATGTGGCAGTGATGTCCCCTATTTCCCCCCAGGAAATGTGGAATCTTATGCACATATACCACACAAAGTTTATATCAGAAAAATGGTTGCACTTTTCATACAAAGAAACCTGCTGGGAAACATGGGAGGAAGAATAGGGCTTTGGTGAGTTAGTCATTTATCTCAGGCCAATATCAGAAGCCTTGACTGTTGAGAGAGGAGTCTATGATGTAGCTCTGTTGGGTTTCCATGTACAGGAGTATGCCAAAAGGCCCAGTGTCCATGTCCCCTTGTTCCCCCCCTCCTGCACATGATTAGCCACTTCCAGCTGGATAGTTTCTTGTTGTTTATTAGGGACAGGGTGTTACATCACATGCTTTCCCCCCACAGTTGACAACACTCCAGCAGTTCCTTCTTGGGGCGCCTGTTGGATATAGTTTGAGACATCACCCTGTGGCCTCTTGAGTTTCTTTCCAGGAACTTCTCCCTCCTGCGAGAACTCCAGTCAGGCCGTCTCTCCACCACCCCTTCTCTTCCTCCTCAGTTGTAAGGAATCCGGAAGTCCTACCAACAACAGTTGGGTCCTTCCTGTTGTTGTTGTTTTAATCTGTCTTGTTGTCAGGCCTCGCTGGAGGGAGGAGAAATGGCATGGCCTGTCTGGCTGCAAGCTTGTCTTCCAGCCATTCTCCACCAGCAAGTGTTGCCAACCAGAGCTCTGACCCTGCACGTATAATTCCCATAATTCCCTTTGACGAGGGATTGATTGCTAAACCACTCAGAGAGTCAGGCACACCGGGGGGCCACTAGGGGGCGCATTGGAAGATGGCTGACAATACCATCTCTCCGACCCACACGGGGTAATTAAGAGGCTGTTATGGGAGTAGGCAGCCTCCCTTGTTGCCCCAAGGAAATGGGGAACACTGCCCTTGCCTGCTGTGCCCATAAATCACCCCCTAATTCGAAAGAAGGGGGTGAGGGCCCTAGGCAGAATGCCCCCGTGTGGACCTCGGCTCTCCTGGACGCTGTCTCTGATCTCGCACTAGCTGCAGCAATTTGGAATAATTAATTACAAAAGAAGCAAATGCACATATTTCAAGTGAAGAAGGGGAGTGAAGTCTGCTAATTTAAGTGACCTCTGCGAAAGAAGACGACGGGTTGGAGAAACAGGAATATTTTACGATTAAGATACACCAAAGGCTGGGTATGTTGACAACGGGACTGAATGGGGGGGGGGGAAACCTTTTTTACTTTCCTTCTATGTGATTTACAAGAACCCCTCCTCATTAGAATCGTCGGTTGAACTGACCCAAGCAGGATAATTAAGGTCTGTGTGGAGATAAACTTTAACCAAAAGTATGCTTTATGGATATCGAGAAGCAATAAGAGCTTTTGGCGCAGCAATTAATTCGGAGTCGCCATCTTGCCAAAGGATTTATAGCCGAGAGAAGGAACGGACTTGTTTTCAGACTGCATTCCTGGTGAATCTCCTCAGAGGTTTTGAGAAAGGAGGCAGATTGGTGAAGATTAATGATGCTAAGACTGTTTTGATGTATGGAAGTGATGTTACATGGAAAGCGTCTGGATATGGCTACTGGATAAAAAATAATAATATCCACGCAGGATTACAAACTGTCTAACCAGCTTGTGGAGACTATCAGAAGTCACAAAGAGAAAGGAAAAATATATGAAAATAACAACAAGAGATGTGGAAAAACAAGAAGAAAGGACTGGATAGTACTGTGAACATCATAAGGTGTGGTAGCCTTTTTTGAGGTTTTTAAAGACTTTGGTGATTTTTGAAGCTTTTCCAAAACTTTCCCGACACCGTGCTTCGCAAGACGAAAAAAATCGCAAGACGACAAAACTCGCGGAACGAATTAATTTTGTCTTGCAAGGCACCACTGTAATTTGGTTTGATTTGATGTGATTGGTCGGTTAATAAAAAATTATTCTTAAAAAAAAGAGAGTCAGGCGCACCAACTTGATATTTGTTTTAAGGGAGCTGGGCCTCCTCGATCTTCAGGTGGCCCTATATGCATGTGAGGTCATGTGCACAGCATGTGGTGCATGGTGTAGGCCCAGTGTGTCAGGCTTTGGGGAATCAGCTTCTTCCCCCATGGCGGTAAATAAGAAAATCCAGCAAAAGGAATGTCTTACCAGTTAGGTTCTTTAATAATCACAGTGAGAGACAAAAGAACACGTCTCCCTAGAACGGCGGTGCTCCAAATTAAGGCTCACTCTGCCCTTCTGTCCCTATTAATCTACATCACTCCTACGTCTTGTAATCTGAGCTTGTACCCTCTGCGCTTTCTGTTCTAACACTCACTGAGCTCTTGGTGTCTTTGGGGAAGGTGGGGGTGAATGCTGTCCAGAGACAGTGAACCTGTAAACCCTCTCTCTTCCAGTGTTTCTTCTCCTAGCTGTTCCCCATCCAATATTTCCTAGCTTCTGCCTTCTGAACTAAGGCCCTCTGCAAGCCACTGTTCCAAATCTTTAAACACCCTTAACAAACTACAGCTCCCAGAATTCTTTGGTGTAAGCCATGACTGTTTAAAGTGGTATCATAGTGCTTTAAATATATGGTGTGAATATGACCATACACTATTCCTACAATTTTGTCTGCTGGGCGGGGGGGGGGGGGGGGCTTCATTTAAAGGATTATGCTAAAGAGTAGTGGATTGACTTTAGCAAGTGTTGGAAAATGGTGGCACTCTGGCTGCTGACATTAGGCATGTGAGGCTCCTGCTTCTTCCATCATATACTTTTTAATTCCCCAACATGCATCCATGATGGTGGGGGCTTCGTTTACAGGGTTATGCTCTGCCCTCTGTTGTTGTTGTTGTTGTTGTTTAAGCAAGTCAAGCTGAATGTCAGGAATTACCAGCAAGACATCTAGCCTGTTTTGCAATGGGTGTATAGTTTAGACCTCTAGTCAAACACAGACAGCAGTTTAGCTGTCGAGGCACTATCACTCCCGTGAAAGGTGAGATGATTTAGAGGCCGGCAGAAGCTTAATTTTTCTTGATCACCACGTGCAACCTGGAATTTTAATGGCAGGCATAATTAATTCTTCTGATGTTAATCATCAGGGCTGGACTCCACAATTATCAGCCTTGTGCAGCTGGGGCATGGTGCAGACATGAAAAATTAGGAAAATGAATCCGTAATAGGGTGGCAGATTTAATCTGCATCGTGCAAAACAAAGTTGAAAAAGAAGGGAGACTGGGAGAATTTCAGCCGAAGCTTTTGTGCCAATAAGTGCTGACAGAACTGAAAAATGTTGCCGATGTCCAAAGTGATTGGTAATTACCAAGCCATTGAATTTTTTATTGTCAATTTATCATTGCACCAGAGGTTAAATTTAACATCTTCTTCTAAAGCCATCACTCTAGGAGGAAGGCAAGCTTTGTATCACGTGATCCCAGGAGTCAGTGAAAGGTTAATCAGGTATTCCTTTAGCTGGCGTGTGCTTCCAAATAATTCTTCCTTTTTGTGTCCTTGTATGAGTGTGTGTGTCTGCCGGGGTGGAGGGTGTGGGGAAGAGATTTAATTTTCGCATTAACAGCACCTGTGCATTTCAGTTAAACATCTGACTGCATTCCTCAGATGCATCTCTGGTCCATACAATTTCCTTTCCTTAAGGAAAAAAAACACATTGAAATTTTACTTATGGGGTAATACAAGGGAGGATATTTCAGAGCTTCTCACTGTGTTTTAAATTACATCTTTAGCTGCCCACAAATAGAATCTTAAGCGTCTTGCATCTCAGAAATGCCTCTTTTCTGGTCAGAAATCTTTATTTCATTTCATTTCAATTTTGCCTCTTCGTTTCCCTAATGAGTCATAACTGGATAGTTTATTGTAAAGTGAGGGGCCTATATTTTTTAGAATGGAAATATATTTTTTAGTTGTAAGCAATATGTGACATGTATACATGCCTTGTGGAACTCCCAGAACAATGATGCTTCTTAGAGAAAAGGAATATATAGGATGTTTATGTGTGTTTTAATATGGATTGCCCCATAGTCAAAACATGCATGGCACAATCCAGACAAATTTAAGCGCTGTAACAGCACCAGCCTAGACATATATACTCAGAGGTAAGTCCTATCCTGTTCAAAGTACATTATGGTATTTGTGTATAGGATTGCAGTCTTAGTCGCATTAATTTCAGGGGAAGAGATATACATCACAAGCCTATACATTCTTACTCAAAAGTAAGTCTCACTACATTAAATGAAGCTTACACCCAGGTAAACTTGTATCAGCATTAAGCATGCATTTAATGCTCCACCTGAAATCAGTGGGACGTAATATGCTTGCTATTGTTTTGATAACACACACAAAAAGTTTAAAATTACCACAAGATTCATAGTAAAATTCCCTAAATGGCGTCCTGATATCAGGAACCAATCCCAGCATTTGTAGAAATCCAATATATCTTCATAAAGTTAGTGAGATTATTTTCTTTAGCAGATTGAGTTACAGCCTCCATTGTTAGCTCCTCCCTCTAAACAGCAAATATGATTTTTTCTAATCATTGCAGTTCAGCCTCTTTTTAATATGAGATGAAATTCACCCCTTGCCCTCATCGCTCGCTCATCTTTCCACAGAGCAGGCACCGGATATTTTTTTCTTGAATTCTGGGCTGTGCTCTGTTGAAAAGGAATTGTGTGCGGTTTCTATAAATTAAATATGGAAATGACCTTTAAGGGGGAAAGTTGGGATCGGAATCAATGTGTGCATTAATTACTGCAATTCATTACCCAAATAAACACAGAGCCTTTCCTTCTTTCTTTTTTTCCTGGGTGCAAATGTTGGGGCAAAAGATGTTTGCAAGAGACAAAGGCTTTTGATCCGGCTATGTTAATCTGCAGATAAAAAAAGAAAGGGAAAGAGTGTGACTTCAGCTTCAGTGTGTAAGCTCCTCTGGGGATATCCTGGCTGGGATCAATTCCCACATGCAGGCAGTGAATTATTGATGCTGAATACAAAAGCTAGTCATGTGACCCACACCGCTATCACCTAACAGTCCCCTGCACGATCTTCATGTTCTGACACCCTGCCTTTTTATTATTAAACTCAACACACAAACCAGCACCTCTATTCTGATTTCTCTTATAATCAGAAAGATAATGCCTCTCGTTGCAGCTCCTCATTTATCTCTCTGTGTGTATATGGGAGAAAACCCAACATGAAAATGAAATCTTTAGCACCCTAGAGCCCAAGCAGGAGCCTAGAAAATATATAGCACGCACGGTTCTATGGGAAAGATGCAGTGAATTATTGAAAGGATTTCCTGCTCGTCTTCTGAATTAGTATCATCTGTTCCTTCTTTTTCTTAAGCAGAGCCACTGCACAAATGTAATTCTGCCCCCCCCCCCCCTCCTCGCAGTGTTGGGCTGCCTTCCTTTATAGCCTGATGATAAATTGTCACAGGAAGGTTTTTCCCCTACAAAAAAAAAAAAAAAAAAAAGCCCCAACGACGAGGTATGATTTTAATTCTGAAGGGTTTTTGCATAGCAGCCATTGCTTACGAGAGAGCATAGCAATACACATTAGACCGGAAACTTCAGCTATTTTAATTGGATGCCATCCAAAATCGCAAGTAATTAAGAATCAATTTGAGGCCATTAGTAAGTGAGGCTAGCTAGCCAGTGTTGCATATTTCAGAAGAGTTAGTTTTAATGAGAGGAGTTCCTGGATTGGGAAGAGAGGAGAAAAAGAAAAGGGGGAAGCGGAAGGGGGGTGGGACGCACCAGAGAGAGATTAAAGATAGTGTAGGGACTGTCTGCTGCTTAACTAAACAACTAATGGTACATGGAAAGATGCTGAACTTGTAGTCCTCTCTAATTGATCTACTTACTGTTCTTGAGGAAACTTTAAAAAATGAATGTAGGTATTTACTGTGCATTAGTGGCTCAATACCTATTTATAAACATTAGAAATGAGTGCATCCCTCAATGCCTTTCTCTTCACCATGGAAGCCTAAGCTGTCTCTTTTCAGACATATCAAGCTTACGACCGTCAAGCCATTTGCTCCTCCCTAGACCTGGTAGCCCCATAGTTTTCACCACGTTGTCTGCAGAGGGCAATGTTAAAAATAATAATAGCAACAAAGGATTTAGAGAGTCATAAATTGGGGTGGGAAGAAAGCTATTGGCTCGTCTGCCAATTCCGAGGAGCTCATTTGATTCGTAATTGAACCTTGCTCAAATCTAGATTTCTTCTCCTCTCTCTCACACACGCTCTATTGCTTAATGATAAGTTTTAATTCGTTTTAAAGAAGGGGAAAAGGGGAGAATGTTGGATTATTAGATGCTCACCTGGGCTTGAAGGTTACAGGCTGGAGGGATGAAGTTTCATGGGAAGAGTTGCAGATTTACTATAGGAGCGGCAATGCAATAAATCAAGCACACAGATCTGGGCATGGTCTCGATATTTCCGTTGCAGACCTCACTTTTTCCATGGACGTATCTCCTTACAAATTATTTGGGCCCAGTTTTTTCATCTGAGGTAAAACATACACCAATGCCACATTACCGTTACCGGGTTATTATTTGTTTATACACCACACAATGGCGCAACCCTTCGGAGAGCTATTTGTATTTCTAGCCTGTGAACAGAAAAGAACATTGTTCAATGAAGTGCTGGCGTTACTAAGATTAAGGGTTACACTCTTCTTTTGAAAAGTAAATATAGGTCACAAGAGCATCACTCTCATATGACCTTAGCAGTCACGGATTCCCTCAAAGTGATTTTGTGTGTGTGTGTCCCCCCCATTTTTTATTCATTTTATAACACAAATAAAAAAACACAAACAGAAAAGACAAACAATACTTGTCATATCCTTATTTTTTCTAAACATTGTTAAGTGGGCTTCCCCAAGTCCCACCTATCGGATTTTCATTTTACTTCATCTTTAGCAGTTTACATATATCATAATTTCTAACCATCTTTTTTTTTAAAATCACACTTAAAATAACTTCACATTTTATCACTTACAAATAATACTATTTTAAAATACCCTATCTTCTGCTTCTAACCCTACAGCCTATATCCACTTCCAAAGCTATTCTAAGGTTTAAATATTAACATATTTTTTCAAATATTCCTTAAACTTCTTCCAGTCTTCTTCCACCGTCTCTTCTCTCTGGTCACGGAGTCTCCCGGTCAGTTCGGCAAGTTCCATATAGTCCACCATCTTCATCTGCCATTCTTCAATAGTTGGTAAATCTTGTTTCTTCCAATTCTTCGCTAACAATATTCTCACAGCTGTTGTGGCATACAGAAAAAAAGTAACATCGTTTTTAGGGGTTTCACCCCCCCCAAAGTGATTTTGGGGGAAAGGGGGAACGAGGTGCTGGTACTCATATTTTGAAAAAAAATATATGCCATGGGTGGCAACACAAAATGGCTGCCATGAGCAGCAAAAATACTGGTGACAATACTACAGTCCTGGTCCTTGGAACTGTAGCCCTATGAGGCATCTCTGAACAACTCACATCACGTTTATCAAACTCTGAGGGAAGTGGTATAAGAGTATGTTAAATGTATGGTGTGAATGTGAACATGGAAAAGAAGAAGAAATTAATAATAAAAAATAAGAGAAGCACCAATAGGACAGAGCTAAATGGGTGCTAGAAACCAGCTTAGAAGGACACGCTGTACCTTACGAAATTGAGAAAGAGCATTTCTCAGTCATTTCATCTGCCTCAAAATCAGCTATTTTGTTTAAGTTATATCTCATGGGTGGACAAAATTCTGTTTGAGGAGAATTGGCTGCCATTTTGTTGTTCTGGTTGTTTTTATTACTTCTTTATTTTGAGAAATTTTACCATATGTGGTGGGAGTGTAATGAAATAAAAAAGTTTTGGGAAATGATGTACAATGAAATAAAGAAAATGTTCCAGCTAACATTTGTTAAGACCGCCTTGGACCGTTTCCAACTGGTCTGAAGCGGTTCCAACCGGCTTGGACCGGCTCCAACCGGTCTAAACCGGTAACAACCGGCTTGGACCGGTTCCAACCGGCCTGAACCAGTTCCAACCGGTGGCCTGAACCGGCTCCAACCGGCTTGGACCAGTTCCAACCGGTCTGAACCGGCTCCAACCGGCCTGAACCAGATCCAACCGGTCTGAACCGGTTCCAACCAGCTCAGACCAGTTCCAGCCAGTCTGAAATGGCTCCAACAAGTCTAAACTGGTTTCAAGTCTTAACCGGTTTCAACCAGTCTAAACCGGTTCCAACTGGCTGGGACCGGTTCCAACTGGTCTGCACCGGTTCCAACCGGCCTGAACCAGATCCAACCGGTCTGAACCGGTGCCAACCGGCTTGGACCAGATCCAGCCAGTCTGAACCGGCTCCAACCGGTCTAAACCAGTTCCAACTAGCTTGGACTGATTCCAACCGGTCTGAACCGGTTCCAACCGGCGTGAACCAGTTCCAACCGGTCTGAACTGGTTCCAACTGTCTCGGACCAGTTCCAACCGGTCTGAACCGGTTCCAACAAGCTCGGACATGTCAACAGGTCTGAACCGGTTCCAACCGGCTCGGACCAGTTCCAACAGGTCTGAACCGGCTCCAACCGGTTTAAACTGGTTCCCACCGGCTTGAACCAGTTCCAACCGGTCTGAACTGGTTCCAACTGGCTCGGATCAGTTCCAACCGGTCTGAACCGGTTCCAACTGGCCTGAACCAGTTCCAACTGGTCTGAACCGGTTCCAACCTGCTCGGACCAGTTCCAGCCGGTATGAACTGGCTCCAACCAGTCTAAACCGGTTCCAACTGGTCTGAACCAGCTCCAACCGGTTTAAACTGGTTCCAGCCAGTCTGAAACGGCTACAACAAGTCTAAAACGTTTTCAAGTCTTAACCGGTTTCAACCAATCTAAACCTGTTCCAACCGGCTGGGACCGGTTCCAACCAGTCTGAACCGGTTCCAACCGGCTCGGACCAGTTCCAGCCAGTCTGAAACGCCTCCAACCGGCTTGAACCAGTTCCAACTGGCCTGAACCAGTTCCAACTGGTCTGAACCGGTTCCAACCTGCTCGGACCAGTTCCAGCCGGTATGAACTGGCTCCAACCAGTCTAAACCGGTTCCAACCGGCCTGAACCAGTTCCAACCAGTCTGAACCGGTTCCAACCGATCTAAACCGGTTCCAACCGGTCTGAACCAGTTCCAACCAGTCTGAACCGGTTCCAACCAGCTCGGACATGTCAACAAGTCTGAACCGGTTCCAACCGGCTCAGACCAGTTCCAACTGGTCTGAACCGGCTCCAACCGGTTTAATCCGGTTCCAACTGGCTTGAACCAGTTCCAACCGGTCTGAACTGGTTCCAACTAGCTCAGACCAGTTCCAACCGGTCTGAACCGGTTCCAACTGGCCTGAACCAGTTCCAACTGGTCTGAACCGGTTCCAACCGGCCTGAACCAGATCCAACCGGTCTGAACCGGTTCCAACCGGCTTGAACCAGTTCCAACCGGTCTGAACTGGTTCCAACTGGCTCGGACCAGTTCCAACTGGTCTGAACCGGTTCCAACCTGCTCGGACCAGTTCCAGCCGGTATGAACTGGCTCTAACCTGTCTAAACTGGTTCCGACCGGCCTGAACCGGTTCCAACCAATCTGAACCGGTTCCAACCAGTCTAAACCGGTTCCAACCAGGCTGAACCAGTTCCAACCAGTCTGAACCGGTTCCAACCGGCTCGGACATGTCAACACGCCTGAACCGGTTCCAACCAGTCTGAACCAGTTCAAACCAGTCTGAACCGGCTCCAACCAGTCTAAACCGGTTCCAACCGGCTGGGACCGGTTCCAACCGGTCTGAACCGGCTCCAACCAGTCTAAACCGGTTCCAACCGGCCTGGACCGGTTCCAACCAATCTGAACCGGTTCCAACCAGTCTGAACCAGTTCAAACCAGTCTGAACCGGCTCCAACCAGTCTAAACCGGTTCCAACCGGCTGGGACCGGTTCCAACCGGTCTGAACCGGTTCCAACCGGCTCGGACCAGTTCCAACTGGTCTGAACCGGCTCCAACCGGTTTAAACTGGTTCCAACCGGCTTCGACTGGTTCCAACCAGTCTGAACTGGTTCCAACCAGTCTGAACCGGTTTCAGCCAGTCTGAATCAGTTCCAACTGGCTTGGACCAGTTCCAGCCAGTCTGAAACGGCTCCAACAAGTCTAAACCGGTTTCAAGTCTTAACCGGTTTCAACCAAGAAGTCTTAACTGGTTTCAACCAGTCTAAACCGGTTCCAACCGGCCTGAACCGGTTCCAGCCAGTCTGAATCAGTTCCAACTGGCTCGGACCAGTTCCAGCCAGTCTGAAACGGCTCCAACAAGTCTAAAACGTTTTCAAGTCTTAACCGGTTTCAACCAGTCTAAACCGGTTCCAACCGGCTGGGACCGGTTCCAACCAGTCTGAACCGGTTCCAACCGGCTCGGACCAGTTCCAGCCAGTCTGAAACGCCTCCAACCGGCTTGAACCAGTTCCAACTGGCTTGGAGCAGTTCCAACCGGTCTGAACCGGTTCCAACCTGCTCGGATCAGTTCTAGCTGGTATGAACTGGCTCCAACCAGTCTAAACCGGTTCCAACCGGCCTGAACCAGTTCCAACCAGTCTGAACCGGTTCCAACTGGTCTAAACCGGTTCCAACCAGTCTGAACCGGTTCCAACCGGCTCGGACATGTCAGCACGTCTGAACCGGTTCCAACCGGCTCGGACCAGTTCCAACTGGTCTGAACTGGCTCCAACCAGTTTAAACTGGTTCCAACCGGCTTGGACCGGTTCCAACCAATCTGAACCGGTTCCAACTGGCTCAGACCAGTTCAAACCAGTCTGTACCGGCTCCAACCAGTCTAAACCGGTTCCAACCGGCTCGGATGAGTTCCAACTGGTCTCAACCGGCTCCAACCGGCTTGGACCGGTTCCAACTTTCTTGGACCGGTTCCAACCGGCCTGAACCAGTTCCAATCAGTCTGAACCGGCTCCAACCAGTCTAAACCGGTTCCAACCGGCCTGCACCAGTTCCAACCAGTCTGAACCGGTTCCAACCGGCTCGGACCAGTCAACAGGTCTGAACCGGTTCCAACCGGCTTGGACCAGTTCCACCCGGTCAGAACCGGCTTCAACCAGTCTAAACCGGTTCCAACCGGCTTGGACTGGTTCCAACTGGTCTGAACCAGCTCCAACCGGTCTAAACCAGTTCCAAGCGGCTGGGACCGCTTCTAACCGGTCTGAACCGGTTCCAGTCGGCCTGAACCAGTTCCAACCAGTCTGAACCAGTTCCAACCGGCTCAGACCAGTTCCAACTGGTCTGAACCGGCTCCAACCGGTCTAAACCGGTTCCAAATGGCTGGGACCGCTTCCAACCAGTCTGGACCAGTTCCAACCGGCGTGAACCAGCTCCAACCGGTCTAAACCGGTTCCAAACGGCTGGGACGGGTTCCAACCAGTCTGAACATATGGAGGACTACAGGGTGATGAAATAGCCAATGGAGGCCTGAAGGACACACCCACAATGTGCATGTTCAACCCATTTTCTACATGTCCATGGCTTGAAGGGGATGGTTCAAAGATTTTACTATCAAAACATCTAAAAATTGAGAGAATATTTCAACTTTCTCTTTAGCTGGATGGATTATTACACAATGAGCACCAGTTGCTCTGAACATTATAATGACTACCAACACAGTAAACAACTTCATTGCATGTGGGTAATCAAGTGACCATCTGAGAGGGACATATCATGCAACCAACAGCTGACATGATCTCAGTGGTGCACAATTTTCTCAAAGCTTAGCCTGAATATTTCAGGACATCACCAAATACATTTGGAATGCAGTTCCAGGTTCATTTATTTATTCTTCACTAGACTTGATTTTGGTATCTCATCAACAGCTGAGGTACTCCATGATGTCATTTGCAAAAGAACTTCCAGGAGTCAAAAATCTTAGTGACAGCATTATTGTACAGTGCAGAGGAGAATGTTTATTTGAAATAGCATTTCATCAACGGAAAGACAAAAGTTCAAGAATGTGAACTCAACAAAGATTGTCTGGGGACTGTACTTTCGAAAGATGGGACTCAGCTGTTACTTTGGCAAAAATTCCACACCATGTAAATGTGAATAGTTCAGTTCACCACATTCATGTATCAGTTTGTGATTTATTTAATTCCTCATGAAACCCAGCATTTTAATGCACATTCCTCCTAGCATGCACATTTTGGGAACAAATTTCCCCTAATATAATGCATTTTTGTATGTTATTTTTCACTAAAGTATTCATTTTAAAGGACTCTTGGGGAAGGATGGTTGTCTGAAATTTGAAGGATAACTTTGTTTCAGTTTGTGCATTGATTAGGGAACTGCCAATTAGGTAGATTCGCCTTAAAATGTGAATTGAACTGAATTTCCCCTCCATCCTTAGTTAAGTAAGTAATTATTCCACAAAGTAACGCTCGTCTTTAAAGCAACCCAAAATATCCAAGTAGTTCATGAAGTTCATGAACCCTTCCTGTAGGTTCAAAATCTAACCACTGCTTTTACACAACACAAAAGAGAAGGGCTGCCGACTGGTCCTTGCAGTGAAGTGCAGCACTGAAATTGGGGCATTAAGGTAAAGGTAAAGGGACCCCTGACCATTAGGTCCAGTCGTGACCGACTCTGGGGTTGCGGCGTTCATCTCGCTTTATTGGCCTAGGGACTTTCCGCGTACAGCTTCCGGGTCATGTGGCCAGCATGACTAAGCCGCCTCTGGCGAACCAGAGCAGCGCATGGAAACGCCGTTTACCTTCCTGCCGGAGCGGTACCTATTTATCTACTTGCACTTTGGTGTGCTTTCGAACTGCAAGTTGGCAGGAGCAGGGCCGAGCAACGGGAGCTCACCCCGTTGCGGGGATTCGAACCGCTGACCTTCTGATCAGCAAGTCCTAGGCTCTGTGGTTTAACCCACAGCGCCACCCGCGTCCCTGAAATTGGGGCATTACCTGCACACAACCACTGAGCAGACACGTGAGACACTTTAGCCGCGTTCAGCTCCCAGGTGTGTGTTAACTATAGATGCAGACCTGCCTCTCTTTAGTACAAAATTGGTGAATCCTGCAACCCTCAGATGTTGGGCTCCTACTCCCATTGGCCCCAGCTAATTTCTGGGATACTGCTGGGGAGATAGGGGTGTCAGGCAGGCCCCCAGCTGGTTCCAGCCACTGGCGGGCAGCCGGGCGATCACCGATCTCCCTTGGAACAGCATCAAACAGCGACACAAGCCTCAGATACCTTTAGAGACTCGGCACGCTCTATCAGCAGAGTGAATTAATCTTTTCACAACGGAAGTGGCGGACAGAGACGTGTAAGCATATTGACAGCATCTATTCAGCATAGTTCGGGAACAAAGGAAAAACATGTCTGCTTCCCTTCGTGTCAGAGCGAACAGCAATAGCAAAAGCAATCTACAAAACGGAAGTTCCCAGCAGTCTGTGCTGGAAGTAAACAGGCATGAGACACACAACAGTCATGCTTGTTCCCTTTTAAGGTGGAACGGAACTATATCCTAACACTAATATGGCCAATATGCAGTGATGATGGGAGCTAGAGTCTAGCAGCTTCTGGAGGGCTGCTCCCTGCTTTAAATGTGAACAGGGTTACCCATTGGAATGTGCAGTGAACGTATGTGAAGCTCCACTTCTTGTAGTACATGAAGTGGACCTCTAACATCAAAACATGTTGGCTGTGCTTGGATATTCCCAGGATGCTGTGTGAGACACAGCTTACAAAGCACCCTGCTCATTGAAACTGATGGATAATGCGCTGTCTTGCTTCTGGGCACCTTCTCCTTAGAGATAAATACAGTGTGTTATTATTACAAGAGATGTTTAACTACACAGAGGGCATGTGTAGTCCCCACCCTCTCTGCATCCTTTCTCCTTCCTTCTGAATTATTCCTTCCACAAGAATTATTAACTTCTCCAGGAGCTTCCATGTTTGCTGGTCATGGAATCTGCTGTAGCAGTTTTGATAATGAAATTTAGAAAAACAGGAACCCCGAAACCAGAGCTTCTGGAAATCAGCCAAAGAGAAAAGCAAATGGGAACCAAAGGCAGGGTAATTAAATGACTACAGACGAAAGATTAGCCAAGGCTGCAGTAGCCTGGTAGGCACACACACACACACACACACACACACACACACACACGTTAAAGCTAGCGATGAAAAGCCTCGCTTCCCATTCTTCATGCTTAAGAGTCTGGCAGGGTCATTACATTTTTTATCATTTGGGCTGCAATGTGCTGGAAAGCAAAGCATGCCCAGAACCCACAAAGACTGGGGACTGATCCAAGCCTGTATGGTTTTTAATGGAGTAAAGAAGGTTGGCAATGGAAGCTAGACAGACCTTTTTACAGAAGAGCGAAAATACAAAACATTCTAGAACGGACTGTCCCGTTAAGTCTGGATGAGACATTCTGGGAACACAGGCTGTTATGTCTTGTACTGGTTTGCACATGTATGTGATTCCCTTGATGACAATGAATTGCTCCACAGAGGAGGTTTCCCTGTCACCTCAAACACAATGTGTAACAGAGACAAAACCCCTGTGTTGCAATATAGAAAAATCTGCTCAAATCCAACTGCAACATGTGGCTAATAATGTATTATCAATACAGTCATACCTCGGGTTACAGACGCTTCAGGTTGCGTTTTTTTGGGTTATGG